TTAATCTATTATAATTATTACTGTGATAAAAATGCTACCTATGAATAATATAGCTTGTAAATTATTACTTCAGTCTAATAATATTTCTGAGAAGAGTGTCTCGAATTAGATGGAGTTTTCCTGAGAAAAACAATATTTGATAAAGGGCGACGTAACAGTGGCATTTATCATCCCCAATTATTTGCGGTCTTGGGTGCTGCGTCAGAGATGATCAGGCTGTGTAAATTGACATTTCATTATTACGAAGTATATGAGATACATTAGCCTCATCTATAGCACTGCGATCGATACCGTCTTAATTAGTGACCGTGAAATTATTCGAATATATTGATTCGTTCAAATGAATCATTTCAAACTTTTAATGTTTCTAACATAAACACGCAATGATTCTTCATACAAAAATAAGTTTCTAATTCATTGATCAATCCAAGGGTTTTCCACCCTTTTTTCCATTTCTACCGGAAAATATGGTCGTTCTATAAATGTTGTTAGCTCTAGAGTGCTCTCTATGGCGCACGTGTATAAATTTTCTCACACGCCTCGGTTTATCCACATAAAGTGAAATCATGTCGTGAAACATAACAATTCATAGGATTTACTTTGGCAACATGCTGAATGCAACTTTAACTTTTGCCATTAAAAACAAGAGAATCTCTTCTTTTAGTAAATAAATAACAACATTATATGACTTTTTTATTTGATTTGCATAATTGCATTACTTAATTGTTTTCTATATTAATAATTATTTATAACTAAGATAGTAATCATATTATTATCTTAAAGTAACTTAGGCTTACCCTTTGATAAACGAAAGGTCTTGTTAAAGCTAACCATCTTTCTACTGCCATGACGATGGCGACGCATCCACTGAAAAGACCAAAAAGACGCCAGACAACTCGCAGAGAACAAAATATTCTTGAAGATGTCACACCGCCCACATAAATTGTAACATACATCTGTACTAACATTCCCAATAATGCCACGAGATCGTTGGATGCCAGGCAACGCAGCATCAGCAGATGCTTGCGATTTCTTCTCTAAAAATGAAATAAATTTAATATGCAGTATCATTTTAATACTTTTTTTTCCCCAAAGTAACATTAATTAAAAAAACTATTTTTACTATTGTATAAAAATATGTACTTTGTGTTAAATTATTAATATAGTTTATTAATAAAGTTTTACTAATAAAGTTTATAAAATGTGATAAAATGTGATAAAATCATATTATTAATTATAATACTATTAAATTATAATATTATAATATTATTATTAAAATACATTTAATATAATTTTATGTTTATGTAAAGAAATATTACGATTTATATAATATATAATTTGTACCTAGCAATAATCTTTATTAATATATCAGTTGTTATAATATTGCAAAAGATTATAATATAAATAATGTCAATTAGTATAAATAATGTTTATATAAATTACCTTATCTCGATAAAATAATATGGCCAGGGCAGATAAATTGCCCAAGACACCAGTTATATAGACAAGGGTCAATACAATCTGAGCTATTATTGTCAGATGTCTTTTTCGTGCAACGCTTGTCACTATGTTGGTCATCATCGTCGTTTTAGTAAACGCAGAAGTTGACAAAGTACTGTTTGGCCAGTTATTTGCCATGATTGTAATATGTAGCTTCCTCTCCGGTTAAGAATTTAATTCCGGAGAAGAGAATTTAATTACTTGTTTCCTTGTCTTCGCCGAAGAAGTTATCTTAATGTGACGTAAAATGCTAATCTAATGAAGTAAAGTATTTGTAATACAATCTCAATGGCTTGACCTCATAACTTCCCAACTGATTCATGCTAATTATCGGATATAAACATCACTTCTCTTTAAACATCGATCTTAGTTTCCTCGAAACTTAAGCGTAGGAACTTGAATTCATTTTGAAATATTAATATCAATCATGTTTTGGCTTTATCCATTTTTTTTTCTTTTAGGGATTTAATTCAAATGAGTTCAAAGAAGATTAATAAAACGTTGTTTCATTATAAAGAATATAAGCGCAATTTCTCAGTTTGTCTTGTTTTCGCGTTTGAAGAAAGGTAATTCTTCGTTGCTACATAAATATTTATATAAATAAACAATTCTTCCTTCATATATATATAATAAATTACACTGCAATTTTTTGCAGTATGCAGTGATGTTAAGATAAATGACTGATATGAGATTAAAATATTTTACATTTCTATATGTAAAAAATATTGATTAATTGCAGAAAATAACAAAAAAGTAATAAAAATTTAAAGATAATTGATGACAAAGAAAATGAATTCAAGAAAAAAATTAAAACTGAGAAAAGCTATGAATTAGGCCATGTAAAATTTTTCAATCAAGATTATGAAACAAATATACATATAAAAATATCTTAAAGCAAAATTATAAAAGTAATTTAGAAACAAAAATTATAAAAGTATAATAATTTTTAAATATATTTTTTAAGAGTTTAATTCTAGACTGCACAGCGTAAATATCTTACAATACATTTACAGAACAATACATTTACAGAAAATAGCATATCATATAAAATAATTATCATAAAAACCTTGAAATATTGGAGATTCAAATTCCTTGAATTTTCTGTAATGTAAAATTTAACGCGAAATCATATGAATTCAAGGAATTGTAACTATTTCTCCTCGTTGATTCAATTCTTGATGTTATATTTTTGAAATTAGTCCTTTATGGTCTCGTGTCACTTGAAATTTTTTTAAACTAATTTTGCACGATTTCATCTGAATCGTTGTTTATTAATCCAGATTTTTAATCCAATTTCCAAATCGAAAAGCAACGCCGATCAGCCGTCGCGCTCTTCTCGTTGCAGGAAATCCTGACGAGTCAACGATCGACGACGCGAACTTGCGAATCTTCCGATTGAAAATAGATACAATGATTTCAAGGATACCAAGAGGTTCCTTCGACAAGTGGAGGCACTGCTTGACTGATTGAAACCACGCGGTAAGATCGGGTTTTGTTTACTCGCGAGGAACGCCTTAATCGCAATGGCGCTTGCGCGGAATCTTCAGGATCCAATATCGGAAAGTAATTTATTATTTATAACTAAAAATTTATGAAAAAATTTTAATATAAACGCCCGATGAAAAATATACAATTTAATTTATTTATTTCATGATTATTTTTAGGAACATTTAGGTACACATTATTTCGATTTCATTGAATTCTAAAACGTGTGATTGTTTCAACAAAACCTTATTTCAAAATTGGGATTTTACATTTTTGATATAATGAAATTGCTAAAATTAGTAAGAAAATTATATTTTAAAGTCACTCATGTAAATGTAAACGATGACATTCAGCGTCTCGTAACGATTCATGCAAACTTCGTTGGCATGCGAATGATTATGAATAATGCATGTTATATATGCTTTTTGTATACAAGACGACACACTCAATAAATAATTTCAAGCACGAGAACAATAATACATTAACACCCTGTCCCTTCAAGGATGCAATACATAATGAAAATCAAAAAATTGTTAAGAAAGTTGTACAGATCTTTTTAAAATTTGGATGTAATCCAAAGACTATGGCAAAGAAGAAAATTTATCTACTTTCTATTGCCAGACAGAAATTGATTCAGTTTACGAATGTAAATCGAAGAATTCTTTAGCAAAATGCTTGCCAAGTATATTGACAAATAAATACGTGAAAATTACGAGGTAGTTGCATCGTTGTATAACAATTATAGTACATTTAAAATATTAAAAAGTAAACGATGCGTGTCATCGTGAGATCAATTATATTAGTATTATCTTGATTTAATTTAAAAAGTAATTAAATTAAGAGATAGTCTATCAATAGTCTCTTGCACTAAGTTCATGCACAGCAAAATTTGCCTATGGCAGCAAGAATGCCACTGACTCTATAAACGTGAGCCATCGAGATAAGCAAAATTCATATTTTATTATTTTAATAACATCTGAATCGTTTGAATTCTAACTAGTTTTAATCGATAGTTAAAATTTAAGTTACATCAGAAAAATGTTTTCAGTTTCTTTTTTATGTTTTACAAAATGTACAAAGCAATGTTTTGTCCAAATATTTAAATTTTAAAAAACATTTACGTCATCATTATCGTCATTGTCGTCATAAGGTAAAGGAGGAGAGTCCATAAGACTGATTTTTAGCATAAATAGCTTTACTTAAGATGATACTTTATTTATTCATTAGAAATCACATTTTTGTCCTTAATATGTTAATTAAGAAAAATTATAAACGTTATGTTATAAAAATAATTTCTGTACTTCTTACAATAATGGTAGATGTATAATTTATGAAAAATAATTATGTTTATTGACAGTAAATCTTCAGACTTAAATATTAGATTGGGATGGAATAGATGACATGTTCTCATCATTCTTTAGAATGTAGATGGTATTGTTGTCTGTAAATTCCTTGTACTTTGCAAAACAATAATATATAATTGTTAAATTTTACAAAAAATAATAAATAAAGCTACTCATACAAATGGAAAGATTATAAGGATAAAAATATAAGCATCATTAAACTCAATTATAATATTCTTTCAGAGATATTATAACTTTATTTTCTTATAATTTCATTTTTATTATAATTTCATTTTTTTTTAATACAATTATTGATAATTTGTCACGACACGTTTTAATTTTAAAGAGCGATTCATCTATATTCTTGCGAGTCAGGATGCGCTGCTTAAAATAAATATCCGTCTTTACATGGTGAATGATAAACATACAATAATCGATACCCAAGCTAACGAGGAAATTAATTTAAATAATGTAGCGGTCAGTGTCATTCTTGCATAACAATCACTCCAATCATGCATGCAACTTTATGATCCGATAAAATATTTGTTTTTTTATCGATGTAATAATCAAAATTAAATATTAATTAAATATTAATATTTATTATTGACGCAACAAGTGAACAAGCAAATCATTAAACGAAATTATTTAACAATAATTTTAACTAATTTATAAATGGCAGAGTCTCCTCTTACAGTATACAAAACTTTGTGTGGAAATTGTAAATTTGACAATTTTTACAATTTTATATTCAATATATTTTGATAATCGGTAAAAAAGTTTTAAAAGTTAAAATATTGATATTTTTATATTTTTGAAAATATAATGTCTGGAGAATGTGTTTTTCAAGATTCAAAATTTATAAAGTTGACGATTGTAAGATGTTGGCAACGCACACTTAAAAATGGGCCTGCTCGACAAAAAGAAGAAAATCTCTTTTTAAAGAACGAAAATATAGTTAGTTAAAGATAAAAAGAAAGTTACATTTTCGCATACACATTTACTTATATATTATATTATTGTATTTCTGTGTACAGTTGTGTGAAAATTTTCTAGTAAAATTTAATGGTTGGAGAGTCAACTTTCTTAAGGTTTTTCTAGCCTTACTTAGTGCAAATAGATATTCGAAATACTAACAATAATTATAAATATAGAAGATACTTTTAATTTAATTATTATATAAAAAAGAATTAATAAAGGCAAATTAATCTAAAGAAGGCAATTAATCTAAAGAAGAATAGAGATATTTCTTTTAGCCAATAATACATGCAATATATAATCTAATATAGTCTAATTTTGTTATTTTATATATTACGATAATATTTGAGATAAAAAACCATTTGATATAATCGTTGCGCTTGAAATCGTAAATTTAATCAGGAGGTTTATGATATGAATTACAATGCGTTTATTTTCGTGTTAACAATGTGAACTTAGAAATAGAGAAATAAACTTGAAAATTCTAATTTTGGCATGGAAGATAAAAATTCAGCCAGGGAAACTGTTTATAGTTCAGTCTCTCTCTAGAAAATATAAACTATTATTACATATGTAAATAAAATTAAAGAAAAATTATTACGAGTATCGTGATATTGAAGATGAAATAATATCGCGAAAAGCAACATCATTGGCAGCATTCATTAATTTTACGATAATTTTGATCCTCTAAACTACATTCAAAACAAATTGAATCTCGACTACTGACAAAATAATGTTTATGATTAATTGGATCACAGAGTCGAAGGAAAAAAAAGGCAAATGGAACGGCAGTTTGAATATTACACTAAACTATTTAACATGAAAGAAAATAGAAATGATAACGTTGCAGATTTCATGGCAACAATTTATGATGACATGAAGACATGGAAAAAT